GACGTTTTATATTATGCTTTTGGCTGAGGACAAGCGTTGAATGTAAAAGTTAAATATGTAACCGCAACCTTTCTTTATTCAATCAATCCCAACCCCCCTGCATTCAGTTAGTGCCTTGAAATGTGGAAAATATTATCGTGCGTGCGGCTGAAGTTTAAAATATATCCTAGGGTTAACAACAAAAGGTCAATTCGGGGGCGTTTTAATTTAGCTAGATCGGTATCTTCCATAGTTGTACAATAATATATATATGTATGTAACAGCGCCGTAACAAAAGCTGATATCTTAGAGCTAGATACAACTAAAAATAAACATGGAATTCTCGATTTACTGTAGATCCTTCTCATTAATGCACAAAAAATGTGTTACACGCCCTTAACGAATATGGATTATTATATAAAATACCCATCGACATATAATATTTCGCATAATTGCAAATACAATTTGTTTATCTCTTCCCTTGCAAACTTTTTAAGATTCAACTAAAGCCGTAGCAAAAATTGTCATTGGTGATGATCATCTCAGACTCTTTCATTTAGATTCATGTGTATTTTATACAATTTTGATTTATACTTTGGACATGGGCCCTAACAAGAAAAAAAAGTTAACATTCTATTTGGTTATTTTGAATGATGTAGAAAAAATATTATTTTTGTCGACAATTTTAAGAAGATAGAGAACACCTTTAATGGATTTGTTCCTCATATTAAATTAGCTTCAGCTTATTGGATTGGGAAATAGCGTAGCAAATACAGTTGAATAAAACTATATAAGTGTATTCCTCAATGCTTGGTGCTTAGTATACATAGAGAATGTTTACAAGTAAAAATAATATAAGCTGGAACTGGATTATATTTATATTATCCAACTAATTTAGTGTGTAAGCAAATGAATGTGAAACTAGTGCAAACCCATAATATAGTCTAATCATGCTGCATTCAAAAGATGAGAAATATGTCTTAGCGAAAATGGATGCGCTTATTAAGACTCAATTTGGGAACTACGAAAATAACTTTGAATATTCGTATTTCTTTACTGACTTAATCATAATTAAGGAAGCGGAGAAGTCACTTCGAGTGAAAGAACTGGAAATTGACAAATTTCAAACATATAACAATCGACGATTGGATCTGGAGGAACAGAATATGTTTACTAATTCATTGATTTCTAATTTAATTTCGATTAATTCGTTTTTAATTTTGCATAAAATGTGTGCAAATAATTATTAATCTCTTAATAATGTATAGTCAAAAGTGTGGAAACTACTTTTGCATCTTTTGTAACCGTTTACAGCATTGATTACTTTATCTAAATCGTGACTACATAAAACGCTCGTAAAGGTCGTTTTCAATTTAGATAATGCCTCGCTGTATTGTTCATTGAATTATTCAGTGCAGTGCAGTCCACAGTTCATCTAGCGTAGTCGAAACCGAAAATGAAGTTAAATGTGGACGAGAGCTGAATACCCGCTCTTTTTGGAATCAACGGAGATGCCGAGGCAAAGATATCAATTGAGAAGAGGGCGGAACAGATAAGGAGTACGAATTGGTTGAATTAGCCCAAGTTGATAAATTGCCGAAGAATTTTATTTCATCGTTGTTAGGACTGAATCAGCTGCATGATCGAATGAACTGACATCGCGATGTTGAATGCTTAAGGACTTATAGCAATCAACAGATAACCTTCTCGGATATCATTGAGAAATACCAACGTTCACTAGGAAAACTGCTTGAGTGATAATAGTACGACCATTTTCATCAACTAAATCTGAGTATGATTATAGCGACGACAATGAGTGTGAATAGAGCGATTCTTACAACTGACTCGTGCAGATATAAACAAGTAAGAAAACTCTACCCGAGACTCTTCGACTACTTCATGCCCTAAAAAAACTGATATGTCAAGAATTCTTCGCTTATTTGAATTAAAAAAATACTTTTTTTTTTTTGGAAATTTTGAATGATGCGGTGGATTTAGAGCCGGTATCCAAAAATTAAGAAAAGTCAAATATTTTATAAAATACACATGAATCTAAATAGAAGAGAGAATCCATAGGAACTTTCAACAGCATCTTATATTCTTAATAAGGACAATCGAGCTGAACCGACTTAACCATGTCTGCCCGTCCGCCCGTCTGTCTATAAGAGCTAAGGACCTTGTAATTTGGAATATATATATATATATATATATATATATAATTGCGTCGACAACTCAAAGTGGGCTTTCGCTTTTGGTTTACTATTTAACAAGTAATTTGAGTGCACAATCGACAGAAGTTGAATGAGTCCACGCCCAAATGGGGATGATGTGCTGAAGTACTCGTCTGGACATTGTTGGAGCCCAAGAGATCAGCACTCATCTTTGGGCAGGGCGCTTGCTTAAATATGCATACAATTTTAATAGCGAATGGCAAGCGCATTAAAAGTCAGAGCCAAACACACTCACACACACACACACACGCACGTACACACGCACACAATGCAAAGTCAACTTTGCCTTGACTTTCGCTGACATTTTGCAACCGAAAATTATTAAGCCAAATGTCACACACTCCAGCCACAGTCAGGCTCACAAAATGCTGTACAGCTTTGTGGCTGAACTGGGAGCGGTTGGCTGAATATTAGAGGGCGGCCATTTTGTTTGGCTTTTCAACTTTTTCGCTGGCGTTACATGAGCCTAATTAATTTCATTCAAATGACCTCAAAAACTACTAAAATGCGAAATGCGAAATGCAAATTCAGCGAATTTTCACATTTTGTGGCTAACACTTTAAAATGTCGGACAGATGTGGGTGTGTGTGAGTTAGTATAGCTGTGTGTGTGTGTGTGTGTGTGTGTGTATTTGCGCATTTTTAACTTTTTTGACTTGAACCGTTTCGGCAAGCTGCTTGCTAATGCAATTTTATTGATTTTACCGCGCTCTCGTTCCATTCTGGCCTCAGACGACTGATAAACGTGGCTTCATTAATATTTGACTTTGCTGTTGTTGCTGCTTTAGCGAACGAACTACTTAAGCAAACTACAGCTGCTTGCATTTTTATTATTCAACTGGAGATGCCAAAGAGTCAGTCGAGGAACCAATGAAAATAAACACCATCGCCATCGTACTGTGACCGGCTTTGGTCCATGTCTCGTCTGGGCTTGTCGCACGTTTTCATTGCAGACATTGAAAAATTAACCAATATCTGTCTATGCTGCCTGACACAATGCTGTAAGCAGCTCAAGCTCCCAGGCCACCCATGGATTGGCGCCAGCTCACTTCTTGTATACTAAAGTGGCAGAGGTGGCCCCAAAGAGGGCCACTGGCTCAGCATGAAGCACAGTGAGCCTGGATAATAGGTGAATAGCTGTGAAAGTTTATCAACTAAAGTGCTCGATGTTGATGTCGAACCGACTACGCCATTGGCGTAGTAACAGCGCTCTATCAATCATAACAGTTGAAGGATAGTCCTTGAGTAAATAAATAATTAGAACAATGCTGTTTGCCATTAACGTTAGGTTTATTTGACTTTTATACTTGTACCCTTACATATGTCTTCCTACAATTATATTTTCATACCCTAAACCCATTGAAATCCGGGTTTTGTCTTATAGGTATGCGACAGACAGAAGAAGGCATGGCAGACCCCATGAAATACTTTTAGTATTATTAACATTATTAATCTGGATATGTACTTTACATATTAATCTGTCTTTCTGTTCGTCTGTCCGTCCGTCCTTCCTGACGCGTCCTTATGAACGCGTCAATCTCAGTAGAAATAAGAGCTAGAGTCTTGAAAAGTTGTTGTTGTTGTTGCCCATGTATAACAAAAAAATCGATAACTGCTCCCGAACTTCCGAAAATTAGTTATTTTATTATATCTCCCTATACATTTAGAGCTAGAGCTCCCTAATTTAAAATGTAAACTCATATGTATTTTATAGAATTTCGAATTTTTTGTAATTTACCCCCCACCGGTAATAAAGAAATGATTAAACTAGTCTATCTCCCCAATCTATCTCCCCTAGTCGAGCAGTCTCCACTAGAGCCTTCTTACTTGTTTGATTGTCGATTAAAAACCTTATCAGTTTCTAAACGTAAAATGTACATCTATAGAACTAGAGCATCCAAATTTGAAATATAGGTTCATGAATATTTTTCGAGTCCACCCCTTGTCTACAAATTTGCTAAAACTTGAAATAGTAGAGCCTTGTGCGTTGGCAAATACACGCATTTAATTTAAGCGAAGCAATATTCAATTATCAGTTCCTCTATCTGTTCAGGATATCTGAAAGTCGAGCAGTCTCGCTTAGAGTTTTCTCACTTGTTCTGATAGATATTCAAGTGATTACCCCTTAGGAGTACGCCCCTGACATCGATTAAACTAGCTTCTTCAGTTCCTTAGCATTCTGATGCGTCTGTATTTGGTTGCTCGAAATGTTATTGTTGACTCGCCTTTGTGAATGTGTGCGCAAATTTATCATTGAAAAGGCATCGAAGCGTGAGTGTCGTATGTTTTTTACATTTAGCACGTTTTACCAATGTTCTGTGCGCTTAAATTTGCATATATTATTGTTGCTGTTCCTGTTGCTGTTGTTGTTATTGTTTTATGCGAAACTATTGCATAAGCAATGGAGCAGAGGAGCTGAATAGGAGCTACTAGCACAAGCTGCGCATCCTGATGACACACGATGGCAGCAAAGTTTGCACGACAGCAGCTGCCGTCACATGTGACGCGAACTTTGGCAATTTGACCAAGCGACCAGGACGACATTGTCGTTTCTCGTTAATCCTTCATAAAAATTGATGATGATGATGGCCAAGCGAAGTTTGCCAATATACGTAAGAAAGGCAAAAGGCTGACATATTTGTCAGCTGCTTCTAAATGAACATTTGATACAACAGAAAAATATTTATATATAAATATGTATATATATTTACCCGAATAATGAGCTTTATGAACTAGTCTTCTGATTCGATTTAAGTTTGAATGGAATTTCAAATTGGTTCCCTCGTTGCAGGTGGCGTGGATGCACTTTGAGCAGTCGGCCATTTTGACGGTGCATAATCATGTGATAACGCGAAATCCAAGGATTAGCGTGACGCACGATAAACACGATAAGCATCGCACCTGGTTCCTGCACATTAACAATGTTCAGGAGGAGGACATGGGACGCTATATGTGCCAAATCAACACGGTGACGGCTAAAACCCAATATGGCTTTGTCAAAGTTGTCGGTAAGTGAATCATACATATATATATATATATATGTGTGTGTGTGTGTGTGTGTGTGAAGCGTGCTTGTATGAACTTTGTCAGCTTTGCTGACATTGAAATATTTGCACTGGCGTCCGTCTCTAGTATCATGAACAACTCATCGCTACTTGGACACATGTCCCTTGCATATTTCATTTCATTTACCAGACAAACTGTTGCCAGGTATTAGCAGAATCATACTCCAGCCAGCCCCCCCGTTCTGACCGACGAAAGCTGTTTAGGCCTTGTTTTAGTCAGCAAAGCAAACATACATACAATTAAATTCCACACAAAGCACTTTATTAAGGCAAACAAACATTGGACTCGCTCTGTCTGTCAGCTGGCTTTCCTGTCTGTGAGGCTGCCAAGCTGCCAGTCTGCCTGCCCATAAAACTATGCTTTAAAAATTGCATTTCAAACGCTGCTGCCCACATTCACACCTCTGACAAGCTGTCACACACACACACACACGTTCTCAGCTCGTTGTTGTCCATAGGCGGTCCACAGCACGAGCCCGAAACTCTACAAAATGAACGACAATGCAAATGTCGCCGTCTCTGCTGGCAGTTTCGGAGCTCAGACAGCAGCTTTATAGTAGTTGATAAATATTATTTCACATCGCCCTGGGGCCAAAAGTGTCCATGTGAGCTGTATAGACGATGGTCATATTGGTATTCAATCGATTTGACTTGTTATTTATATGAATGTAAATACAAAATATTTTTCTGATTTAAAATAGTTTCTTATTTTGTTTGCTTTAAATGTTCTTCAAATTTGCCAGCCAATGAAGGGAGTTTTTATACCCTGAACCCATTGAAAATGGGAAATCAGGGTATAATGGTTTTGTTGAAATGTATGTAACAGGCAGAAGGAGGCGTGGCAGACCCCACAAAGTATATATATTCTTGATCAGGGTGACGAGCTGAGTCGATTTGGCCCTGTCCGTCTGTCTGTCTGTCCGTCTGTCCGTCTGTCCGTATGTTTGAACGCGTCGATTTCCGAAGATATAAGAGCTAGAGACTTCAAATTTTTTTTAAAATGTCCGTAATTACAGCGCGCATATCAAGTTTATCATTAAAAATCGATAACTCATCTCGATCTTTTTTTATCGATAAAAAACCTTATCGAAACCCAGTTATAAAATTATATCTTCTACACCTTTATTGCTAGAGTCTCCAAATTTTTAATGTATGCTTATATGCAATTTATACAATTTCGGTTTTTGTTAAAATTTACCCCTCACCTCTAAATTCACCCCCTCACCCTCACTTTTGTAAAAAGCGTATTTCAAATACTAGAGACTTGTGCTTTGGCAATTACATGCATATTCATGTTATAATCATAATCTAAAAGTTTCATGAAGATCGTACGTCCATAAAAAAAGTTATTAAACAATTAAGTTCTCATAGTAAGCGCACACTGCAGCCCATGCGTGTTTATGCGTGGTTGCTTGCATGTGTATGTGTGTGTGTGTATACGTTTGTGTCTGTATGCGTGTGTGTGTGTATGTGTGTCTGTATGCATGTGTGTGTATGTATACCTGTGTGTGCGTACGTGCGTGTGTGTGTGTGTGTGTGCGTGTTTCTTGTGTAAGCTGAAAGACGCGAAAAATTATTGAAATATCTATTGCTCCAAGGGTTCAGGGGATCTCGTAGTCGAGCAGTCTCGACTAGAGCTTTCTTACTTGTTGTTTTTGTTTTTTTTGTTTTATTTTTTTTTTTTAAGATTTAATTTAAGTTCGGCAAGTTTTTTGTTCACCTACAGTTCAGCAGCTGGGCGCACAGTCTATACTAGCAATTTGCATGACCCGCCCACCTGTCTCGTGTTTCGCATATAATACCCATAGATTCCATTACATAGTACAGACACTTAAGTGCATATGTGTGTATGCCTAAGCGTTTCATGTTTACACAGCGCTGCAGTATGCCTGACTCTACAAATTTTTTTCTATCTCATTTTTTTTTTTTTTTTTGCAACAATTTCTTTTATTTTTTTTTTTTTTTTTTTTTTGCTTAAATATGTGTGTTTTCTTTTGTTTTGTTTGTGCTGCGCTCACTGATAGCACTTTCAAAAAGCCGTTAAGCACGCTTCAGTGTTGTAAAATGCTCAAATAACACGCCTCACACGCACCACATGCGTGTTCTGGCAATTTGACGTGGCGTGACCAAAACGGTGGCAGCCGTTTCACGAAATTTTTGCAATCTCGTTGTCTATATTTTTTTTGCAATTTTTTTTTTTAAGCACACAAACGTTGGTTACACTTATCTCATATACATACATGCACACACACACACACATACATGCACACACGCTGATGTGGCAAAAGTCCTGGGAGAGGCAAATTTACCAGTAGTGCGACAGCTTTGGTTCGTTGCTGGTCAGCAGGCAAAAAATAACGCTAAAAATACTGTAAATGCAAAAAAAAAAAAAAAAAAAAAAAAAAATTGAAAATAAAATAAAAAGTGAAATTAAAATATGCGACTGGCATTTATATGCCCGCACTCAAGCTGCAATGGGGTATATGAGCTATAATGTAATGCTTGCAACTTTCCTGTTTTACTGTTATCCATTAAAATTTCGATTCTTGCTATCTGATAAAAATTAATTTTTTGTTATATTTTGGAAATTAATTTACGCTCCAGTAGGGAGAGATTTGTGAATTTGTAATTGTTATTGTGATCTAATTGCTGACGTACTAAATTTACTCTGTTTAATGAGGCAGTGATCGGCGCGTTGTCTTAGAATTTTGGGCACGAATTTTGCCTATGCTAAGAATTTTTTATCTTATCTATTTTGGCAAACATTTTCACTAATTTAAATTTCTTTTTTTATTCTTATTTCAAACATGTTATTTTGAGTGAAATGGAAATAAATTTTTAAGTTTAAAGATTTTACTGTGTATATTTCAAAAGCCAGATCTTTCATGGTTCAAGAGATCTCTTAGTCTAGAGTTTCGTATTTGCTTTTTTTTTCAGTCGCAAAAGGAAAACAGTGTACTAGTTTTTGTGCATTCTTCGCATCTCTCCGCCTCCCATCCCCTGTCTCTCTCTCTCTCTCTCTCTCTCTTTCCCTTTGTGGGAATTCAAAGCATTTTGCCTCCAAAGAAGTTCGAGAATTTGGAAGTCATAATATGCATCATTAGTAGCTTCGTCTTATATAATGTGAGGACTTTTCAGTTATGCTTTTCAAGGACGTTTTAATGAGCCTTAAAACTAAAACCTAAGATTTAGATCGACTTCAGTTAATTAATAAACTCTTCTTAGGAGTAAATCATAAAGGACTATTCAGCATTTTCCACTCTTTTTGGACTCAGGATCACAGAGATTTACAGTGAATACGGTTCAATATGGTTCTTTGACAGACTTGTTGGCAAATTTTGCTGCTGGTGAATTGCGAACGAGCATTATGCAGTCGGTTGCCCCCAGCTGCTATGTTCTCACTCGTATTTTTTGTTGTTTTGTTTGTCGCCAGCCTAAACTGAAATCCTGCAACGTGCTGCATATGTGTCCTTGTCGGTATATCCTCGCGCATTTGCATGTGTGCGCTGCTCTCTGTCTCTCTCTCTGTCTACCTACTGCCATCTGCCTTTTGCCTTGTGCCTTCTGCCTTCTGCCTTCTGCCCTCTGTCCCCTGTCCCCTGCCTGTCCATGTCCATGTTCTAACTGTTGCATGGTGCAGTTTTCAGTTGTTCAGTTGTTCGGCCTCCTCCCACGCTTGGCTGCCATTTGTTTGCGCACATATTTTTCAAGTTTTGCCACAAAAACTGATTTATGTGACTGCCGCAAAACGTCTGTTGCCCACACGCCGCACGACTCCGCACGGACTCCGCACGGACTTTTGTCCAGGGCACAGCATGTTTGTCCGCCGGATGATGTTGATTTGTCAACTTGAAAAGCGGATCTAGTGTGAAATTCTTGCATTGAAAAGTTGCTTAGATTTTTATTAGATTTATCGGTTAACTTTATGAATGCCGCAAGGCAAGGAACTTGAACGAATTTCATAATGCTCTTATAATATAAGAATATATTGAATAAATACGAGTATATTTTTAAATTTGTCATACAGATAAAAAAGTCTGGCTCTGTATAGCTTTTTTTGCTTACTTCTTAATTTAAATATAAACAATATTTTGCGAGATGCGCATTTGTCTTGCCCGTGTTTTTTTTTTTTTTTTTTTTTGGCTATATTTAATATATTTTTAGGTATATTTGTATAGGGAGCTTTATCCATATTTTTATTTTATATGATCGAATCTTATATTCTGTGAATTGTTAAGCCGCTTTTCTTGATTCCTTTTAAATATAAAATCAATTTATAATGTTCCATAGTCATAGCTCGCAAATAACTGTTAACCGCTTTATTCTTTACGCTCCGTTTGCGAAATCAGCCAAAAAATTCATATTCACTCGTTCTCGTTCTGAGCAGGAGTGAGGTTCTTTTCGTTTTAGTTTTCGGTTGTTCGTTTGTAGTTGACCTATTCGTCCGATGCCCTTTTAACGAAGATCGCTTAGGGAGAGAGATACCAATATACTTGCATGTGCATAAAAAAATTGTTATACCCTGTTATAACGCTCTGAAAGTTTCATTAAGATCGTATGTCTACAAAAGAAATTATTCAACAAATAAATTCTCATAATATTGCCCACAATGCAGCGCAGCCCAAGCGCAGTCGCTGCTTACTGCTCAGTTAGCAGAGCGCAGGCTTATGCGTGCGTGTGGACGCATGTGTATGCATGTGTGCATAAAAGAAGTGCAGAATGATTAGAATATCAGCTTGGAGGGTTCAGGGTATCTCCTAGTCGAGCAGTCTCGACTGGAGCCTTCTTACTTGTTATTTTTATCTAATAACCGATAAGAGGGTATTTATTGAATATCTAACTAAATCTGAAAACTAAATATTGTCAAATGCAGTAAACCCGAATCAAATGAAATACATTTAATTTACATACCAAATCCAATTAAAAATACAAAATTAAATGACGCGAAATGTTTACGCAAAAAAAAAAAAAAAAAAAAAAAAAATGAGCATAGCATTGGTTAGGACACTGAGGTCAGACACGCCCTTTCCTCCCTCTGTCGTAAAACTAGGCACTCAATTTAACAATTTGAGTGGTAGACAAAAAAAAAAAAAGAAAAGATAATTACATTGTGCAGTAAATGTAATGAAATTAAAACGTTGCATTTGCCGTCTAAATAAAGCGAGACAAAAAACAAAAAACATTCCGAATGTTGTTGTTGGGCCGGCGAGTAAATAAATAAATAAATTTTCGAAACGCACAGCATTTGTAATTTAATTTGCTGAGCCAAACAGAAAGCGCCGCATTCGGAACATGGCCAACGAAATAAAATGCAATAGTACACGAGCCGAAAAACGACGAAATTATAAAATGGCGGGACGGTAAAAACAAACATTAAACGCTTTTGAATTTATGTGCCACGCACACCGAATGCATTTAAATGGGCCGCGGCAGCCGTTGCAATGCATACGCTGAGGCGCAGGGGGCTGCAAATCCCCAGCTCAAAAGTCCAGCAAATGACCGCAGAAAATGCAAAACAAATGCAACAGCATGCAACATGCCAACAGCCAACAGCCAACAGCCAACATAACATACAACCAACAATAATAACGAGCTCGGCACAGACTGCGTCGACTCTGTTGGCGCATAATTTTTAATTTCTACTCACATAATGAGGCAATTTATTAAATTCAATTACAACGTTGACACTCGCTAGCCACCTTGTGCGACCAGCTAATGGCCAGAGTGAAAGAGACAGAGAGCATTGGCCATGTGCCCAGACCGAACACGTTCCCACTTCTAATAAATTTTGGAGCCAACCTGAACATTTTCGTAGCAAACTAAGCCAAAGAAGCCTGAGCTGAAAAAGGCGTTAGCCATGTTTGCTTTGCTAACCTGAAAGGCTTCCAAAAGTGAACAACATCCTAAAGAACTCGTACTTTATTTACAAATCCGAAATGATCCAAAGCATTTACTACCGGGTTTAAAAAGGCTGAGCCATTGTAGATTATTATACTCACTCACGAACTAAAGGTTTCATACAATGCCCAACTTATTGTTCGTCCATCTGTCCGTACGAACAAAAACCAGAGACTAGAGACATAATATATGAAATGCAGTCGAGACTCGATAATGTGTACCCCGCTAAATCGAAAATCGCGATAAATTGAAACAAATTCCTTCCCCTTGAAAACAAATTCGTTTTCGATAGTTCTCGATAATTTGAATTTCTGTGTAAGTCGAAAGAAAACACTGATCCCCTTGCCATTTCGAGTTATCGGGACTCGATTATACCGTCGTCTACAAAAGTCTTCAGATTTGTTCAATATGCAGTAATTTCTTTGTAACTGCAATCTTTATCCAGAAGAATCTCTATATATGTATATGTAAAAAACTCTGAATACCTGACGATTGTTTCCTGCTCCCTGTACCGAAAAGTTTTAAACTATTTTATTATTTGTATTACTTATTGTTGTATTTTATATACAGTTGAATCCCGATAATTAGAAATGGCAAGGGGATCCGTTTTCTCGATTAACACAGAAATTCAAACTATCGAGACTTATTGAGAACGAATTTCATTCAAGGGGATATAATTTTTTCGCTTTATCGCGATTTTTGATATAGCGGTGTAGAAATTGTCGAGACTCGACTGTATTTAATATTTAACATAATATTCGTCTTCTATGGGATCGAAAATTTTAAGCTAATATAATAAGTGTATAAATTTAAATGAATCTAAATGGCTCTAGCGGTGTGAATAAACACTATAAAAATAAGTCGTCTATAAAAAATGACATACAAATGGAAGCTGCCTTCGCTCTAAAGAAGTCTCCCTCCTCATATGCCAAAGAAGCTAATATATATATAAAAACTCGGTTGATGCTTTCGATCAAGAATATATAGCTGATAGTGCTGCGTCAATAAATATGCTGAGCTCTTAGAAGCAACTAATTAGCTTCTGAAATAGAAAGTATTATTTGTCTACATTTGAAGTCATATTAATTTCAACTTCAAGTTTAATTACCATTAACAATTTATCCATAGCCTGATAAACTCGGTGTATGTGTGTGTGTGTGTGTGGTGGCTCTATTAAGGATATGAAGATTAATTGCCGTTCGCTAGACGGTTAGATGGTCGGTCACGTTGTTATCAAAGCGGCGAAAAACTTTTCGAATGGACACGGCAATTTAATAATTAAGCGCTGTACGTCGACTTGGCGAATACCCTTTGAAGGCCGAAAACTGAAATTATAAATGTAACAGTTGATTCCCAACGAGTGAGTGGTATCGGACACATTTCCGGGCCATCAAACTGTTGGCCAATGCGTTGACTTTGGCTAATTAAATTTTCAGCTTGTATGTGAAAAGTTTGCCCTTAAAACCATATACGAGCTGGGGGAAAAACCGCCAGCACGTCTGTGTAGAAAACTTTGGCAGCCTTGTTCGCCTTTTCGCCATCTGCTAAATATCAATAAAGAAACTAATATGTCAAATGGGGTGGCTAACACACAGGAACAACAGCTGCCTGAGGAGCGATTCGGTGCGCTTATGGTCAGCTCGGCGATTAGCACATCAAGCGTTTATTAATAGCCCAGCAAACGGTCGGTTTGAGCCAACTTTTTTCTCTCTTTTTTTTGTGTGTTGTTCTCTTGCCTCGCTTTTGGCTCATGAACGCCAGGGCATTATGGAGCAGGCGAAATAAAAGGAGCCAAAGACAAAAGTTTACAGCGCATAGAAAAAGTTGAAGCAATTGCAACTTTTAATTACAGTTAGGTTTTATGCGTTGTGTCCCCAAGCGAAAAATGGCCAAAAGGTAAAGATTTAACCGCTTAAAGAACACATCGGCGGCTATCCAAAAATCCATTTCAAATTTAATAATCCAATCAATGTAATGAGCACCAAAACACAAATCAAAATTACAAACAAAAATTCAATTGCAAATCATTTAAATAGTTGTCAGTAATCGATTAAATAATGTTGCAAATAATACACAAGGGATTTGAATTTTATATTCAGCTGAAAAAAAAGAAATTATTAAATATTATAATTATAATTTGTAAAATATGAAAGGTTTTATTAAAATGTGTATGCTTATGATTCCGTATTTAATTAGCAAACGATTGAAATTGACATGACATAATGCTCGCATTATTGATTTGCTTGGGCATCTGGACACCAGATATCTTGGTTGACGCGTCAATAGCAGACATCAGATATCAGACGACAACTAAACGCGTCGCGCACGTGACTTACAGGACTTGTCCAGACTTTGGGCCAAATGAAAAAATTGCATGCGATATCTTTTGATTACAGACACCGCTCTGAATATGAAATGAGACAAACTGCAGCGGCTGTCAGCGACTACGACAGTTTAGGTCCATATGTCTAGCTAGAAGTCTATCCCCCACTCTCTCTCTCTGTCTCTCTCTCTCTCTCTCTCTCTTGCCCGGTATGCTTGGGTCCGCTTGTCGAGCTCGGAGTCCAGTCAAATCCTTAGCTTCTAGCTTTGTGCGCTTTGATTTGCATAGATTTTTCATTACAGATTTTCCGCTTGAAGGCCAAAGCAAAGAAACGCCACTAAAAAAAAAAAGGGTTTGACAGAAGCGTTCAGCCAGCAATTGAAAACCAGAGCGCAACGGTGTCCCCCAAAGGCTGATGACAATATGATGAAGGTTCGAGCATCGATTTTTAAATTAACAGACTCGCCCCAAAAGTTAGCCTGGCTAAAGTCTTGTCGCAAAGCTAATTAGGCTTAAACTAAAATATCTCTTGGGACAAAGTTGAATCAGCGCGTCAAAGTCAACAATGCGTGAAATGCTTTTTTCTACACTTCCCGAAGCGTAACCGAACTTTGGCGTATTGTTTGCTCAGACAGTTCTTATCTTTCTGCTTAGGCATTGCTGTGCTCATCAGACCTTGCGTGCCAAGATTAATTTCAACAATTTATGGCTCTGTGAAATGTATACATTTTTTTTATTATTTTTTTTTTAGTCTTGAAACTTGCAATATTATATTATATTTTATTTTGTCTTTTAAAATTTATTTAATCATGAAAATTTTGTTAAACGTCTTGTTAACTAAAATTATATTTAAGCATATATTACACAACCATACAAAATGATATACATATATACATTTTTTCTAATACAAAACAAGTAGATAAGACTTGTGTTATTTCACAATCGACAAGTGTATCTATGAGTCGTTGGCCTTCGGTTTAGTTAGATTTTGTTGGCTTGAGCCGTTTCCACTTTCTTGGCAACGCTGCTTGCCAAAATGCAAAAGTTTTTGCATTTAAATCAAGTGCTGCTCGCTTTTGAGTTTATGTTTAGCTGGCAGGAATAATAATATCCATTTCCTTGGCCCGCCACACTTCTTGCAGTCCCACCCAATATTGACGATGCGCTGACCTCCAGCGATGTCATTGTGCGCGAGGGCGACAATGTCACACTGCGCTGCAAGGCGAAAGGCAGCCCAGAGCCATCCATCAAATGGAAACGGGATGACAACCATAAAATTGTCATCAACAAGACGCTCGAAGGTAAGTCCGACCGACCGACCGACTGCCACGAAACTCACATCAAATCGTGAACTCTATTGCCCGCTCATGTTGTTGCAGTGAATGACCTGGAGACAGACTCTTTGGAATTGGAGCGCATCTCGCGCCTGCACATGGGTGCTTATCTCTGCATTGCCTCAAACGGTGTGCCGCCCAGCGTTTCCAAGCGCATCAAAGTCAGCGTTGACTGTAAGTTTGTTGAATGAGCCGATACACCCAATATATGCATATACCCTATCCTCTCTCGAATCGCAATTACAGTTTCGCCAATGGTCTGGATACCGCATCAGCTGGTCGGCATTCCCATGGGATTTAATGTTACGCTGGAGTGCTTTATCGAAGCCAATCCCACCTCGCTCAATTACTGGACGCGAGAGAACGAACAAATGATCACTGAGTCGCCCAAATACAAGTAAGTTTTTCTCTTATATAAAACCAATGAAAAGAGAAGCAAAATTTTAAGGGAGTGATTTAAAATATTTAGAAAAATATATATGTATATCCCTGGCATTACATAATTAATGTATTATGATAATATAGGTCCCTAATAATATGATACATATTCAAAACAACTTATAGAACACATGAAATAGGATTGGATGTGTCTTAGTAGATAGTCTCTGAGTACATAGCTATACTCTGAACTTCTCACTATCAAAATTAATTCGATTTAAAAAAAAAAAAAACCTTGGAATTAGTGAGAATTATAATGTCGAAGCTATACTTTTCGAGAGCTGAATCAAATAATGACATAATCAGAAATGTGAAACATAATCTAACTTAAATAATTGTCTATAACCTGCTTCTTGCGATTAATGTACGAATCTTATGATAATAATAAACACTGAACTTCTCCTTATCAGAATTATAATTGACATATTTCATTCGATTTGTTTCACCGTAAATTGCACTATGGGGAATTTTGCCGTTTTTTTCGGGTATTTAGCCGTTTGTTCGAAGTATTAAAATGTATTATATTTTTATGTTAACATCTTAATAAAATTCCAAACTTTAAGGTACTGTACTCAAAAGGTTGAATAACAGTCCACTTGTAAGCATAATAGCTGTTAAAATCAGCTGTTATCTTCAAATATCAGACATAATTTTTGAGAAATTTGAAAGGGATTTGAATTATTAGGGCTTCTACTATGTGTGGGCTTAGCTAAGATTTGATGTTTGACCTTGTTTTATTAACATTTTGTAAAATTAGTAAGAGTTGTTAAATACCATTTCTTGTAAAATTCTAATTTGTGAAGACATATAAATCAACCATATTAAAAAAAAAAAAACCGGATCAAAAAATCTGGCTTAGTTTTCAAGTTATTAATTAATACCCGATAATTTGGATTTTTTCCCATACTGCATTGGCTAATCAGAGTCGGCGAAAAATTAGCAATGTGCTATAATATAGAGTATGACACATTTCTTGTCGATTACGATTACGCATAGACAGAGAGCAACAGACAGTAAAAGAGAGAGAGAGAGAGAGAGAGAGTGAGAGAGAGAATGGGAGAGAGCAACAGAGAGGGACAGAAAATATTTCTGTAGTATTTGCTGCTGATTATATATAACAACGATCGAGCTTATATATACCGCACAAACAATCGACGAAATCAGTTTGCCAAAAGCAATGTCGACTTCAACGACAACGTTCTGTATTCTTCGATTAATACTTTTGCTCGGATTGGCAAGTGCAAGTAGTCAGGCATCAAATGCCAATGTCAATGCCGGTAACACAGAGCTATTGACTCAGATACTTAGTTATGTGAATGTGAGTGCTTCGCCGTGCCATGATTACTATAGCTATGCCTGCGGCAATTGGGCCCAAAGACACCAGAATGACAGCTTTATGGAAATAACGGGGCTACTTGATCAGAAGGTGAACGAGAAGCTGTTAATGCTGCTAGCTGAGCTGCAGAAGCAGCAATCATCGCTGCAGCCGGACAGTGTGCAGGCGAAGGTCTTGAGCTTCTTTAAGACCTGTCAGTTGGCATCGGGCTCGACTCGCCTTGGTAAACATTATTTGGCTCTGGTGCCGCCAAACGAGAAAATACCCTGGCCGCAGTTCAAGAACGGATCAAAGGCCTGGGACAGCAGCAAGTTCCATTGGATGGAAACACTGGCCCGGGTGCAACGCTTTGGCCTAACCAATGCGCTCTTTGACTCCGATGTATTGCCAGACTTGACGAATAGTAGCAATTATCTAATACACCTGAAAACGCCAAGTTTTGAGGAGGAAAACGAGCGACTCGGAAGCCGAATACGAACCAAGGCAATGCTACGCATGCTGGGTACCAGCCCTCAGCAGGCCACGCGTCTGGCCCATGAGATTAAGGCCTTGGAGCAAAAGGTAGCTGCACTGGCTGCCAGACAGCCCGATGAAAATGACGAGGCCGATGAATATCTCACTGTACAAGAGCTTGAAGCACAAATCGGGGGACAATGGGGCAAGTATTTTGAGATACTACTGGGTCGTAGCGTGCCCGCTGAGTTTGTGGTGTATGTCGATTGTGTGCCTTATCTGAAAGCGCTTCAGGAACTCATCAAGGACATGGATCGTGAGGTCATCGCCAGCTATATCATGTTGCGGTTCGTATCGCATTTGCAGGAGGAGAGCATGGAGAGCAACGAGCCCATCGCCTGCGTGCAGGATGTGCGTCGCAACATGGAGCTGGCCACAAATCTGCTATATGAGCAGCGATTCATTTCGCCAGGCCGTCTGCGCAGGCATCAGAACAACCTATCGGAACTGTTTGAGGTGCTGCGTAAGCAGTTCCTGAAGATTCTTCAGACGAACAATCTGCATCTGGCTCCTCAAGCACTGGATCTGGTGAGAACCAAGCTGCTCAACGTCACCATCAACATTGGAAACATGCCTCAGGCTGTGGATCGATCGAGCTTCGTCAATGCGTTCTATGCCGATTTGCATCTGGCTGGGAATCGGGATTACGCAGCGGATCACCTGCGTCTGCTGGAGTTTCGCACACGTCGCTGGTTCGAGCAACTGGAAAGAGAATTCAACATAAGCACTTACTTTTATATCAGCGATTCGGATACGGGCATGAGCTCGACGCCCTACTATATGCTGCGCCAGAATGTCATTATTGTGCCCTATGGCATACTGCAACGGCCCGTTTTCTACCAGGACTCACATGATATATTCAAGGTCAGCCTATTGGGCTTCATGCTGAGCCATGAGCTGATGCATGGCTTTGTCTCCGGTGGTCTAATGTATGATTCCCGTGGCAATTACAATGAGCTGGGCGCGGGAATTCCTCTGGAAGATAAATATTCGTCGGCGATTAGCTGCCTAAATCGTAATGAAACTGAATATATGGATGAGCGCGAGGCCGATATTGCGGGCATACGTCTGGCCTATGACGCCTACTTTGACAGCGACTCCAAATTCGATCAGTCGCAGCCTTCGTTCTCGACTCTCACCCTAAAGCAGCTGTTCTTCCTAAACGTGGCGCAGTTCTTCTGTGGCGATGCATCGCCGGATGCTTTTGAGGGGCACGATGCGGATGAAATGCGCCTGAGGCAGGTCCTAATTAACTTTGCGCCCTTTGCCGAAGCGTACGGCTGCCGCCAGGATAACGATAATATGCATCCGGCCAACAAATGTCGAATATGGTAAAATTGCAGAAGGTCAAAGCATAAAATATTTTAATTTACAAAAAAAAAAAAAAAAATTAAATGGAGTAGAGGTAAATTACCTTAGAGACAATCCATTAAATTTGATTAATTAAATATTGTCATTGTATTTGATTTTGCCAATTATGTTTCTACAGTTATAATAAATATTCGACTCTACCATACCCTACACTTCTTCTTAGCTTGCATCTTGGTCCGTTTCTCGCAGCCAAATTCTCGGGAGAATTCTTCGAAATTGGCCAGGGTTTGGAGTACCCGCAGTTCATCCACGGCGTGCTCCAGATGCTGTACATTCAGGCTCTGCTGCTTTCCGCAGAAAAACTGCGCGAAGCTGATGAAGAATCGCTGGCGTTGACTGAATTGTGGCAATAGCGGATCTCGTGGCTCTTTGCGATCTATCGAAAACTTCTCACCAAAGTAGGTCTCATAGACCAAGCGCATCGCCTCGAAGTCGGCGATCTTTTCGCTGAGTGACTTGGAGCCGGTGGCCACGTGCTGCTCAATGCAATTGATGCTCTGATTGTAGCGCGGACTGGCCCAGATCTCCTCGCTGGGACCCATGAGATTGCCCACACTGTCGTAGTGAATGCCATGATTATCGAAGCCATGAATGATCTCGTGGGCCAGTATGAAGCCCAGGACCGCATTCTGCTGCAGCTCGCTCATGTTGCGATGCCAAACGGGCAGTTGAAGGAATCCGTACGGCACCAGCACCAGATTCCTGGGCAACGCAAAGAACGGCGACAGGCTGCTGCTCAGATCGCGCTCGGTTAGATAGCTCACGTTGTTCCCATTGTACTGATTGCCCATGGTGAGCAGCTCGTGGTTGCGCTCAACGCGCAGCCTCAGCAATGCCAACTGATTCTCATAGAAGCTCTGGGCGCCCATCTGCACCGGCTCATAGTAGTCCTCCACATAGCTGGTCTCGTTTAGCTGCAAGAAGCCCAGCTGCAAACGCATCGCGTCCAGCTTCTCTTGCAAAACTCTCAGGATTGGCTGCTTCAGTTGCAAGCGATTCTCGTTGATCAGCTGACCAAAGCGACGCTTCAACCGTCCGAAGATCTCGCTCACCAATGGCTCGGAGTTAGGATCATGGAATCTCTGGCCTATCAGCAGGCTGGCAGCCAATGGCATGGCTCGCCTCAGGCTAGCCACACACTCCACGCGCGAGATCTCCGCCGGCCCCTGCTGCTTGAGGAATGCGAGCAGCTTCAGCATGATGTAGTTGCAGACGGTTTCCGGCTTGTGGCGCCTCAGGAACTTGTCCAAGGCACGCATGTAGGGCACATTTTGTATCAGGAGCGCTGGCGGACGCTCAAGTTCACTGCCAGTTGCATTTATGGGCAGCTCTTGGATAAAGGCCGTCCACTGCAATTGCGGCATGATCTCGGCCAAATAGCACAGCTCAGTTTCCATGTTGCCCATATCGTCCTCGATATCCTGCAAGCGATGCAGCTGCCGCTCAAAGAAATCCACTTGACGGGCCAGCACATTGGCCTCGCGCTTCGTTTGGCCAATGTCCAGCAGCAGCTCTATAATGGCGCCCTCGCCCATTGGGATGGTCTCCTGCTGGCTGGGCTTATCCAAATTAATTGCATAGCTGCTGGCGTCATCCCAGCGCGGCAGCACCTCCTCCTTTAGCAGCACGCCATTGAGCCCATATGAGCGCAGGCGTCCGATGGTCGCCAGCCAGCTAAATGTTTCCGGACTCCACTTCCGGCTTAGCAGCGGCCAGCTCGTGCAATTGCTTGGCGGCAACAGCTGCAGATATTTCTTTAGATTATACGGCTTCAGGCGCTTGCACGCGCGATAATAATTATGCATTTTCTCATGGATGCTAAGGAGCTGTTCGTCCTCTGTGCTGCTGTCATTGCTGACGCCACGCCGCAGCAACTGCTCCAATTGGCGATTCAATGCATAATCCAGCACGGCCAGCGTGTCGCTCGGCTGCAGCTGCTCCTTTTGCTCCCGTTGATGTAACTGTTGCTGCTGCTCTGCCAACTGCTGGGTTTCCGGTGGCTGCTCCATCTGCTGCAATGGCCAGTTGCCGCAGGCATACTGATAAAAATTCTCGCAAGGGCGCGCCGTCAGGTCCATATAGCTGTGCAGTCGATTGGCCAGCAGCTCCTCCACGCTCGGCGGCGGCTGTGTCCGATGGCAACTGGTGGGCGTGGTGCGCCACGTCAGTGAGCAGAGTAGCCAAGCAATCAGGCTGAGCTTAAGCATGTTTCTGCGATCAACTGCATAACTGGCTAGAACTTATATATTCAGCAGCCTGTTGACTGGAATAGCCGCGGCAAACAGCGTTGACTACCTGTCAGTCTTCATCGCAGCGCTGCACAGTGGGGCGAAATTGTCTAAAGCCAATCGACGAAATATAATAGATTTTGTTTGGAAATCTACTTGCACTTTTTTTGTACTATATTCTATATATAATAGTTTTAATTTATTTTTAAGTTAATTTAATTATTTTTAGAAATAATTTTTTTAATAATTAAATGTTTTTATAATATAATTAATAAATGAATGTTTTCCATTTATTTATGTATATTTATATATTATATATTTATTTTATTTATATATTTATTTATTTTTTTTTTGAATTTAATTAATTTTAATATTATTCAAACAATTTTAGTTTTTTATTTTATTAAATTCAAAAATATCTTAAACATTTTTAATTGATGTGTTTATATGCATTATTTAGCAAATTTATTGTTTTTTATTTTATTATTAATTCAAATAATAAAAATATATTTTGGCTTTAAAATTCAAAACTTTTATTCTCATAATATAATTATAAATATATTTAAATATTGATTATACATAAACAAATTGATTTTTATTTATTATTTTATGAAATAATAAAATTAATTAAAAATTACAGTTTGACAGTTTAAACATTTTAATTATATATTCTGGGAATTTTGTTTTTTTTTTGTTTTTTAATTATTTATTTGGTTAATAATATCAAATTTGTTGTCCTTGGTCAATAGCTTAACGTCAATTTGATTATTGATTTTTAGCCACTGTGCCTACTCTGCCGGGTGGCATTTTGATTAAACATAAGTGGGCAGCGACTACGCTTATCAATTTCACCTTGACCTTGATTATTCTGATTGAGACTCATTGAAGCTGCGCCACTCGCCACAATTGCTGTCATTGAACTTGCACAGATGAGATGCTTTCCCTCTACCTAGTATTACAATTTTGTTTGCTATTATAATTGTAATAAGAATTTCTGTTGAACTTGCTTCATTGCAGAACCGAAACAATTCCGGGTCATCCATCGTACAAGGCGACAATGCGGCTGACGATTACCAATGTGGAGAGCAGCGATTACGGCAACTACAAATGCGTCGCCAAAAATCCTCGTGGCGACATGGACGGCAACATAAAACTCTATAGTAAGTGTCTGCAATGTGTTATTTATGCATTTTAATATTGGCCCATTATGCGTGAACCGATGTGCCGCCGCACAGCACAGAGGCACACACACACACATAGGCAAAGGCACACAGACGCAGACTCGACTACGATAAATAACAAATGTTGGCCCAAATGTGCGCACACTAATTTTCTGGACACGGCAAATTTCTAAAACTACACCATTTGCGGCTTTAATTATGGCGGCTGAATGTGTGTACTTGATTGGATGGCGTCTGACAGAGATGCGTATGTGTGGGGGTGTGTGTGTGTGTGAAGTGGATGTAATTGTAGCCACATAATGTGGTCATTGGGCTTAGATAGGCAACAGGCGAAAGGCTCCAACGAAAAGTTAAATAGGGGCTTAAGGTTTTTAGCCAAATTGTTCGGTTATCAGTCCGACTCTGTGAAAAATGAATGAAATGTGAAATCTGATCTAACGAAGATTCAGACTTAACCGCATATGCGGAAATCAGTATACAATTTCCCTATTAAATATAAACTATTCATCTCAGAACGTATTCGAGCTAGAGAGTTGCAACTTCCTGAATATCATATATAATAATAAAGTTGATAACTATTCCCGCTTAAGTGTTATCATAATCAATCACCCTTATTATTTATCAAATAGTTTAGTAGTCTAGAAAAGCTTTGGTGTGAGCTAAACATACTAGAAACGAAGCTTTTGCTTAAAGGTTATCGAGAGGATCGATACGTGGTCGGACACACATACACTCACATAAAGGCTGTGTGGATTGAAAGCTGTAAGAGAGAGGGTGGGGACTATCTTCACTGAGTGATTATTAACTTATTTCAAGAGAGCTAGCTTCGTCTACTTAATTCAGTTGTCCGAGAACTCTTGTATTGCAACGTTCACATCGCATAACGCTTCATATTTATATTGTATATAAATCAATTTTTATTGAAAAAACCAACATTGTTCCGCTGCACTTTAGACAAAGAATTGAATTGGTGACTGATAAGGTTGATTGCTAAAATTTGATTATATATTCCATAAATTCGTACGTATGTACATACATATAAATAATTCAGATGTGCATATACATAAACAAATGTTAAAGGCCATCAAATGACAAGCAGAGCAACAAGAGAGGATGCACAGTTAAGAGCTGTTTAGTGAAACCAACATACACAATCACACTTACACATAAATTTTCGTTCTTTGAGCGCAAAACTCCACTCAATTAAAGTCCACTCAGTTAGAGTCGACATACAATCCACAAATGGGCGCACAGAAAACTGAAATGAGCAGTTGACTAGTGGGAGCTGAGAGCTTGAATAGAATACACACAAACTAGCACACTTGGCAGCTTAACTTAGCGCGCTTGCTTTCTACTTGCTGAGAGGATCCACATGTGCCCGTACACACACACACACTCAGACATTTTAGCGGAATTATCTTAGTTGAAAGCTCATTATTATTCCCGAACTGTGGTCTTTCGCTTCTATTTATATCATACATACATGGGAGCTGAGAGGATCCACAAGTGTACGAAAAATCGCTTACACACATACACAACTATTAACAGATCAGTAGAGTGGTGTGTGCGCATAGAAGTCTACGACTAATGTGGATAGTAAAAGCATGGGCATTTATTTTTGTTGAGTGATTCTTGAGATGTTTTTGTATTTAAGTAAGCTCTAAGCTCTCTCTACCTGTTAGTTGTTTGCGGACTTTCTTACAGGTTACAGCCGATCGTATTATTATTATTTTTTTTTTTTTTTTCGTAAATTATGAGATAATTGTACTATCTTTAATTGACTTAACGAAAAAAAAAAAATTATTTTGTTACATTTACAATTTTTGAAGCTATATACCCAAATGTGCAACAAGTAAATTACAATCTTTTCACTTGCCTTACAAAGAAAAATTTTATTTAAACATAAAAACTTTCAACATTTATTATTTAGCTGCTTGCAGGTTAAATAATTGTCAATCGATAGCACAGCTTGTAATGTCCTACAAAATATATTTGGACAGCTAACATGAGCGTATATTTAAGCGGCAATTTAATGATTTTATTGTTACGTAGGACACGAGGCCAATAAAATGCCAATAATCTGTCAATTTGCTAAATCAGTCCCAGTTGTTGGGCCATTAAAGTAGCAGACTGCAATATATATGTATACATATATATATATAAATACAGCTCGCAAATTCCGGTCACAAAAGTTCATAAAACAATATAAAATATCCGTTCGTTTCGTTCATTGCGCCACAATAAAAAGATGGCGCCGTCTAAAGGCCATGGCCAATAGCGGCCAGAAGTTGTCAATGTGAAAATGCGACAAGTTAATTTATTTTTGGGGCGCACAGGCGATAAAAACACAGGCAGCGACGCGTCTCGCGGGGAATGGGCGGCGACAACAAACAATACAACACAAGCTGACAGTGATACTGTGCTGGAGCAGGGGCGTGGCCGGAGCGGGGGCGTTGGCAACGATCAACCAATTAAAGGTAACAAAGAGCAGCCACAGCAGCCGATAATAAGAGGGCGGCCAAAATGGAAGCCAGCACACAATACACAATACATTGAGAACAATGAACCTGTGACAATGTTATTAAGTGGTCAGCATTGCTCTATGAGAGTTTGGCGTCTCGTCCTCGTGGCAGTGCAGTCGATAAGGAGTCAAATCAGAGCAGCAGAAGGGCAAGCAGCACAAGCGCCCAGCCTCATAAATTTGCTCAACAAATTGCCGTCAATATTGATATGGCACCAGAGAGCAGCCCGAAAAAAAGGGAAGAAATTGAATTGAAAACGAAAGGCGACTCAATAGCGGCTTATTTACGACGACTCTACGGCTATAGGAACTAGAGCTTGAAGATGAAGTTAGAAAATTGAAAAGTATCGTAGCTATTCAAGGCGACTTTCAGTTGACAAATAGCTAATGAAAATAGTAAACTACAGGCATATAAGTTTCAATCAAGTAAAAGTCAAAAAGAAAAATGTTTAATTTCATTTACAAAAAAAAAAAAAAACTTGCTTAAGTTGATCCATTAAATAAGAATTTTACCATTAAGTAGGTACTCCCTTCATATTAATATTAAAATTAAGAATAAAACTTATATTATAATAATAATTAATTTTACGCATCTTCATAAAACTTATCTTCGTTTAAGCCTTATTCTTAATGTTTCCATGTGCTTTCAAAGCTTATTGATATTTCAAAAGCTTATATTATTAAAAGCTTTTTTGTACTTCCCAACAGTGTCAAGTCCGCCAACCACCCAACCGCCGCCCACAACAACAACTTTGCCCACAACGACAACAACAATGAACTTACCCTTTGATAGCAATGTGGCATTTGATGGCCTGGGTGGAGACGTGCCCACAAATTCGGTGATTGTAATTGACAAATGTGAGTAGTTCAGCCAGTTTAGTGTTGTTCAATTAGTCTAATAATCGCACTCTAATTTGCAATTTGAATTTGTTTCCTCGACTGGCAGTGGGCATTAAATATCAATCGAATTTGAACGAGATCGGCAAATCCGAACAGAAGCTAATGGGTGGCAATCAGGAGGGCTACGACTGGTCCAAAGGCAAGGCCAACGGAGGTCGCGGACCGCGTGCTATCTGCTGGCTGCTAACGCTTCTTTCGCTCCTGGCCATGCATTCGCGTCAATAAAAAGTTAAGAGCAAAACAGTATCATTAAAGTGCCATTACAACGATGAGAACGACACAAAATGAAACCCAACAATAGAAAATAACCTAGTGTCCTCTAGTGGGTGGTGACCGATTCGAATATACCCCTTTAGTTTCTACTTGCCTTTACACAAATACACATACGCACAACTCTATATACACGCACACACATAACTACAACTATTATGTTCTGTGAGATTTTTAGTAAATTTTAAATAGTACAGGGTATATAAAATAGCACACAGCAAGAAAAATCTAAGGTATTTGTATATCGGTCTACCTTGCTTAAGCCATCCCAGAATTTAAATGCAAACAGGAATGGCAGTAAATTAATTAAAATAATTAAATGAACAGAAGACATACTAATGCTCTTCCCTCTTCAACAAGATATCATAGGCCATTCAGTATTTCAGTGTTAAGCATTCATATTTATTCATATTTTGCATATGTGTGAATAAACTATAATTCTAGTTAATCTAAATCTATAATAAATTAACATAATTTACATTTTATTGTGCTTAGTTTTAAATCGAGTTCTCATTGATGATATAGTGTATAGAGCGAGCAGAATTTTTTTTTTTTCGAAAGTCAAAATCAAAATTGAATTCCGTTTCGGTTTCATTATGTGTAAGTAAAATATTTTTTACTGTCGCACCGGTTAACGTTACAATTGATTACAATTTCATTCGAAACTATTTCATGGAAAACCTCTTTGTCAGCTCGAACCGAAAGTTGAAGTATTATACAATGCAATAGGGCATACAAGAATAACTAAATAAACATAATTGTTGACAAATGGTTAAAGAAAAAAAACATACATACTGAAAAGAATATTTAAAATCTTGACAAACAAACATATGTAAATAATTAGACACACATAAAGAATTGTAAATTATGTACTCGTTATAAACATTACGTTAAATTGCGCTTAAATTTGTATGAAGTTAGACAGCTTTATGTTTATGAAGTCCATAAAGGAAAAACTCTTCCTCTCCTGTCTCCATTAAATCCGGCATCAGTGATCCGAGAGAGTGGAGGGGCATGAATTAAAACGGCAGAGCAATTATGATATGAAACAATCGATGATCGGCACATGAAACATATTTAAATATATTATATATCCTGATCTATGCTCACATATTCAAATGGCAGCCTAATTAAGAACTAAACTACATATAAACGAACATAAATATATCATAGGCTTTAGTTTGTGTTTCTTAATGATAAGAGTGATAATGTACATTTAATGAATTGCATCCGCAGTCAACAACAGGCGGCAGCGGAGTAAATTACATAATGAGATTGCTTAAAATGCAAAACATGGATATAAATAATATAAATATAATGTATTTAATTGTTCGTTTGCTCTCGAAAATTTATTTATGAATGGTTCTTTCCTCCAGAGCAGTAAGTATAAAAAGTTACATTTTTGAAATATTTTCAAGAATACTCTTACAAAATATATGTAAGTATGATATAAAATATGCCCATCATGGTTTATACACATTGTTTAACAAAAACTAATAGACCTTATATTTAATATTTGTTATTAATTAAAATATTGATATCGAGTTACTAAGTCACCATATTTGTTTTCCAACTAACAAACTTACATATACATGAAACCAAAAGCTCTACAGACGTATGCTTTTTCATTTGTGATCTAAGCTCAAAAGCTCTGCTCTTTTTAAAGCTTGAATAGAATACACACAAACTAGCACACTTGGCAGCTTAACTGAGCGCGCTTGCTTTCTACTTGCTGAGAGGATCCACATAAGCCCGTACACACACACACACACAGACATTTTAGCGGAGTGTGGAGTGTAGCCTGTAGGTGAGAGCGTGGGAATTATCTTAGTTGAACTGTGGTCTTTCGCTTCTATTTATATCATACATACATATGTATATCACACATTTATCTTTATTTGCATCAACGCTATCACTATGTCAACTACATTTCACACAATTACATAAATTTATGCATAATTAGATTTTAATTGCTTGCGATATATTTATCAGAATCAATTAATTCATATTTATACATAATTGTGTATGTATGTATTTAAACAAAATTACATCAGGTGGCGAAAATATTAATTTTAATAATTATTATTTCTTTTTACCTTAAGACTCGCACAACTGTGACATTCCAATAAAATTATAACAGACGATCCACAAATGGGCACACAGAGTGCGCAGGGCGTAGCTTAGATCAAAGCTTTATATAAGCTTAAATGAGTACTTTGCTAATGGTGGCTGAGAGGATCCACAAGTGCATCAAAAAGCGCATACACGCACAGTGTGCGTCGCACAATTCATAATTAACGGATCAGTAGCGTGGAGTATGTGCATTGTGGCCTATGGGTAATGTGGACAGTAAGAGCGTGGGAATGTAATCATGTTGAGTCAGTCATGTATTGTTTATATATTTGAGTAAGCTCTAAGGTCCATGTTAGTTGTCTGCGGACTTTCGCACAGATCGGAACGGATACTCGTACTTTCTTCCTCTTCTTCTGGCAAATGACATACAGATTACGTTTTTATTTTGTTATTGTTATTAATATATGTATATATTTCTATATTTTGATATTATAACTTTATATTTACCTCGTCACTCAAAATGTTAATTAGTTCATAGTTTTTAAAATAAAGACTACAATTAATTCTGTGCATATATATAATCGTATTTGAACACAAATAAAGATTTATTTTCAGCTAAATTAAATATATGTGTGTGTATGATTCCAAGTTGACTTTTGTCATCCCTTCCTACATAGTACTATAGATACGAGTCAGGTTGAGTAGCAATTTAATGTAGTCCAAATAACATCACTCAAACTGAACTGCGTTGAAATTAAGTATTTCGACTCAATACTCAATTCAACCTTAAAAGCTGAGCACAAAACATTATATAGCTCAATTAACATGAGCTATTATTTAGCAGCAAGCTTACGATCCACTCTGTTAGTTAACATAGCCATGCTAAATTAGCATTTTCAATGTGTTGATCATTTCTGTTCTCCTGGTATTTCAGTCCGAAATTCATTAAAAATCGGCTCATAGGCGTCCGCAATGCCAACGCCCCAAAGATATGCTACGATATATTTTTTTTTAAAGCTGATTAACGTCGAATTTAAATGAAACAAATTCGAAAGAATAAAAGTGATGTGGAAAGTATATATACACCGTGTATTTATTTATATATTTTTAAGCTATAGAGGCACAAATGTCAAGTGGCCAATCAACTTAGAATGACCAGAAAATATATATTTAAAGGCTTAACACAGTTTTGTGGTCGTGTGCGACGATTTCTGATTTTATTTGATTTCGTGTTTGTGCAGCACTTTGGGTAGCGGAACGTGAAATTGTTATTGAGTCCGTGGGCGTTACCCACTCGAGTGCCAACTGCACATCAGTGCACATCAGCAAATGCTTGCAGCTGCCAGCAGACATTGTTGCTGCATAGCTAAGCTCTGCAGAGCTCCTGTTTGCTGGCCACAAAAACCCTAAGATAAATATTTTGCCAAGCGCCGGCAAATGCAACGTGATGCCACTTGCCCTACGTGGCGTATGCGCAATGCAAACACAATGGACCCACTTGCCGTCCACCCAGCCGAAGAGGCGGGTGGCAAATGTGCTAAAGACGCTGATGATGCATTCAACATCCACTTATACACTTGACAACTAAAGCTGAATGGACCAATTGAGCAGCATGTTCTTAGAAGCCCCAATGGCTGGCTGCTCAAATAAACTCCCAGCGCAGAGCCAATATGCTTCCATTTTCCCAAATAATGCGAACCTAACTGCAAGAGAGAACCAATACTTAACATATATGTAAATAACATAATAGAAAAATAAAATAAAATAAAATAATAGAAAAATTAATAATAATAAATAATAATTTTTTTTTTTTTTTTTTTTTTTTTTTTTGGTTTCCAAACTTAGGAATTGAAAACAAAAAATGATTTATTATTTCGTACAAATAATAGAGGCTAATAATATGAATGTATAAAAGTAAATTAATTTTTTTTTATTTCGGTTTGGGTTTGGTTTAATTTTACTTTCATAGATATACTTAGATTATACCTTTGTCTAATAAAACCTTAAGCTCTTCCGAAAATTGTATGATCTATACCAACCTCTAGAACTCTCATATTGGACTATTAATCTACAATACTCACCCTATTTAGATGTTAATTATTTCGGAATCGTAATTGAGTACTTTACAATCGATCGGTTATAAAGAATAATAAATACGAGTCGTTTGAGCTTGATCATAACTTTGTTTATGACGGTATATTTAGGCTTATGCTATGTTTGACATTCAATTAAAATATTCTTATCAATAAGTCTTTGTTTCTTACAAATAATATATTTAACGTATATTTATGTATATACGTCGACTCGATAAAAGAAAATCTCATTGTGGTTTTCATTTTGTTTTAATAATTAATGCATATTAAAAATTCTTTATGTTTTATAGATTTTCAATGCCGAACCACACCACAGCATAAGCCAGGGCAGGGCCTTAGAATTAATATTGTGTTGAATTATTTCGATTATAATTGCCCTAGCTAAATTCAAATGGAATTTCTGAAGTAACATTAGCTCACTAGTCTTTCACTGAATAATAAAAGTTTATTGAGAATAAAAAATATGTTTACAACATTATATGTTAGTGCCTACAGATATATATGTGCGTATATATACTTATGATTAGTTTGTAACAGATTAGTTGGACGAAGAATTACTTATTATTTTAAACTAAACCAGAACGCTGCGCTGCTGCATCAGCGTGTCGATGATCTTCTCGATGTGCTCACTGCAGCTGCCCAGACACGTGTCCGCATACTCGAAGAGGAACTGCATAAAGCTCTCCAGCTCCTCCATGGAGCAGGCGCTGAACCCATTGCTGCGAGCCAGATTCTCAATGGTGCGCAGCTTCTGGGCAAACTCCGGTCTGCTGCGGCACTGCTTGAACGTGGCCTCGTTCAGCTTGGGCGGCAGCTGGAAGCTGCGAATGCGCTCCTCCACGCTCTTCAGTTTATTTTTCTGCTGCTGCAGAGTGCACAGCATTTGGGGCATGCTCATCGGGGGCTTGGGCCGGGCAACCGGGGGCAATGTCTTGTCGAAGAGCTCGTCCAAGGGCACCGCCTCATACTCCTGGCTGAAGAGGTCCGGCGAGAAGGAGAGACGGCCGCTCTGGTTGCTGTTGCTGAAGCTGTCCGATTCGAACTCGGTTTGGTCCAGATCGCTAGTCTTCATGGCATTGTTGGAGCCATTGTACTGGTTGTTGGGCCAGGCGTATTTGCTGCGCCCCTCCAAGCCATTGCTGCCGCCCGTCTGCAGGCCCACCAGCATGCTGTAGCTGCTCTCGATGGAGAACTTGGGCGTTGTCACCCAGAACTCCGGCACACTGCTGAACTCAAACTGATCGACGCCGAAGCGCAGCTCCAGATCTGGGCCAGTGCTCAGCTCCGCGTCGAGAAACTCGAACAGACGCTCGATCTTCTCGCCGGGCATGTACTTGCCGCTGAAGGGCACGGCCAGATCGCCGCTGGCGAACCAATAATGCGAGGAGCCCTTAACGCTCGCCGGTCGCTCCGGCAGCTCGTTGGCCTCGCTCGCCGTTGATCTGCAAAACTTGTGCGCATCAATGCCAAAGGTCAGCTCACGTGTCTCCCAGGCCTTTTGCGTGAAGATCTCGTAGAGTAGACGCAGTCGATCCGTCGTATTGTGCGCAATTTCCAGGCCCACGGTAAAGTCGCCGGCAGTGATCCAGAACTTGGACAACGGCTTGCTGGCCGGCTGATCCTCCAGCTGCGAGGAGCTCATCTCGACTGTGGGCGCATTGGCAAAGAAGTCGCGCTCACTGCAGTTCGACGACGTTGTTGGCGTATCGCACGTGGCACCCAAATCCAACGGATGATCCTCCCGTATCACTTGCATGGCCAACGAGCTGCGACGCGACTTGTCCAGCTGCTGCTGCTGCTGCTGTCCATTTGGACCGATCGGACTGAATAGCTGCTGCTGGGCAGCGCCGGCACAGTTGCGCCCCTTCACCGGTGTGGAGAAGCCGGAGGGCTTCGTATGGACCATGCCCACCGAGGAGCGACGCAACGGACTGTTGTCCATGGCATCATTGGAGCACGTCTCAAAGCCCTGATCTATGAAACTGTCGCGCAGCTGTGGATCGAACGACGCACGCGGCGTCTGCAACGGCGACTGATCACTGTCCGCATTCGGCGAAGGCGACGACATCACCGTCAACGTATACGCCGACTTGATCTTGCGCGGTGAATTCACCTGGCGCATCAGCGATCTGTCCAGCTCAATGTAGCTTTGCTCCGGGATTGGCATTGGCTGTGCCTGTGGCTGTGGTTGTGGCAGCGTTGGTGCTGCTGTAATTGAACCACTTGATGGCTTCTTCTTGGCCTGCAGTGCTGTCGGCTTGTAGTCGGAATCCGAATCGGTGCTGGTCACAGCATTGGCCGTGGCCTCCACAATCGAGTTCTCCTTCTTCCAGGTGAGCGTACGGCGCATTTTCTTCTTGCGCGGCGGCCGCACGGGCTTGGCGAATTCAAAGTCGGCTGCCTCGTTGGCCATGCCTGGCATTTCTGGCTGAGATTCATCACTGGTTATCTGTATGGGCATAATAATTGGTTAGATTATTAGATTCAGATTAATTTCGTTGGGGAAAGTGTTTGTTGTCTGCAGGTGAAAGTGTTCAAAGGTCTGCCGGCTGCCCTTTGTATGTTTGAAATCATTTAGAGTCTCGTGTTGTTCACAACTTAGAGAATACAATATTGAAGGAAAATTTCGAAAGGAAAAACTCGATTGGAAAGTGAATGAGTAGTAAAGCCTATGGATTGTTCTTTTTCTTTGTCAGATTCGCAGACTTTCTCTATATTTCCGTATTTTTATTGCTACTTTTCGGTATATTAGCTTAGCTGTCCTTAGAAATGAAGGCGGACTCACCTTTGGCAGTGTGGATAAACCAGATTCGCTCTCTTCGGCCTCAGATTGCTTGCAGCTGGACGAGCTGCTCGAGGTGATGCAAGTGGATTGCGTCTGTCCGAGACTTGGACGTGGCGCCGGCACAGGCGGTGCCTGGCGCTTGAGTTTGCGCGGCGTGGGCGTAACTGGAGCAACTGGCTGTTGGATCATGGATGCTGTTTGAGTTGGGGTTGTTGCCGTGTCCACATCTTTGTCCTCCACATAGCTGGCCTCCTTGGTCCTGCTCTCCAGCTCCAGCTTGGCAATGGCCTCCTCGAGCAGACGCTCAACGGCCGACTTCTGGCTGATGTCGCCCATGGAGCTGGCCGTGTTCTGGGCCGGCTGCTCCTCGCTGCCGCTGGCTATCTCAATGGTCTGGTCGCTGTTCGACACGCAAGTGATATCGAACAGAATACCGTTCTCGGCGCTGAGCCAGCTGTAGAAGAGACTCTCGAGCGGCTCGTTTTGAAAAAACAGATGATTGTCGGTGCCGGCGCGCTCCTGCCGGGTGCGTCGTATCTTCTTGGGCGGCGCATACGCCTCAGTGGGCAGCACGCTGCGTATGGCAGCCAAGTTGCGCTTCTGCGAGGCGCACTGCAGACCCCGTCCGCCCGGCTGGGCACTCACATGTCGCTCCGGGCTGGGCTTCAGCACCACCGTCAGCGTGCTCACATGTAGCGACGGCGCTGGAGACTTGGTTTTGGATGATGTGACCAGTGGCGGTCGTGGCGGAGTGTTTGACTGCAGCACACACTTGGCCTCGAGCTCCTGTGCCAAATGCTTCACACTGGCCTGATGTTCGGCCACGACCTCCCCACGTGCCATTTGCTTCGTGGCCTGAGCTTTGAGGTCAGCCGCATGCTCATTGAATTTGGGATGCTTGGCGGCAATGTCGCTAACAAATTTGTTGAAGAGCAACACCTTATCCTTGACGCTCAGCTCGCGGAACACATCCTCGGCCACCAGGCAGGGCCCATAGCCAAAGGACTCCTGCTGCTCCTGCTCGGCCAGCTTCTCTCTGGGCTTTGGCTGTGGCTGTGCTTGTGGCTTCGGCTTCGGCTTCGGCTCCGGCGACAAAGACAACTCATTGTGCAGCGTGGCGTACTGCGGCGCCTCAGCTCGGCGCATTACCTGATTAATCTTCGAGTTGAACAATTGTGCCATCTCCTTCACCTTCATGGGCAGCTTGCTGCTGCCGATCCTGTTGGCGCCACGCACCGACTGTGGTGTGGCCAGCTGGGGCTGCTCGTATTTCTGCTTCAACTCGCTGATCTTCTTCTTGCCGCTGTCCAGCTTCTGTGGCTTGCCCTGCACCTGGGCTGGCTGGCTGGCCAGTTTGGCAATGGTGCTGGCCACCTTGCCCGTGCACGGAATGGTCGATGCATCGCGGACATCTTTGCTGGGCGTTACGGGCACCTCCTCATCGAAATACCTCATGAGATTCTCAATGCTGGACAGGTCCAGGTCGGTGATCTGTATGCGTGACGGTGTGCTGTAAGAGTTCTGGTGCTCCAGTGCAGTGAGAAACCGATCGTCGTCCAGGGAGGAGACCTCGAAGAGCTCCTCTCGCGTCATTGTCGCACGCAGCAGGCCACGTCCATCGCTGACATCGCAGTAGGCGTGCCGCGATCGCCGCTCCTCGATCTCGGCGTTCAGCTGCAGCAGCTCGTCGAGATCGGCGCTGTTCATGGCGGCCGTGTCCACGACCATCTCGTGCTGCTGGCGATTATTGTTGGGCGTCGAGTTGCTCAGCACCATAATTTGTATGTTTTTTATTTTAAATTTGATTTTTGTATTCACTAGCTTCCTCTCCTTCTTCTTCTGTTGCGTTGTTCACGTTAGACGTTGCAGTTTGTAACTGTGAGCGCTGACGTTGTGGCGACGCCTTTTAAGTGCCACAGGTAGACGCCAGTATGCAAATTTGCGCTTTTATTACACCCGCTAATCCGGCCAACATCGGGTCAGGTCATCTAATCGTGGCGCAGCTGCTGCTCGGGTTTTTACAGCATTCCATTAGCAGCGCGTACCTTCCAGGAAGCCTCAGATTGCCCGACCTGTGTGTGTAAAGGTAAAAAGGCAACAGGTAAGTGGAATATCATCCAGAAATGTCCATGGTTAATACGTTAATAAAGTTAAAAGATTGCGCGCGTTGGCTCGGCCTCTCGGCTAACTCGTAATAAAATTGGCACAAAATTCAGGGATGAACAAAGGTGTTGCCAATTTATGAGGGTCTGCAACACGGCCCTATGAGCAGCGAGCACCTACAGATCTTGAAACAGGGGCTAATGTCTATAATGGCCACGCGGTAATACATCTGCATAGGCTTATGCATATAAGTAAATTAATAAATAAACAAATTAAATAAATATGCTTATACTTATGCTGCAATTAAAAATTGATATATGATATATGATAAAATATGATCAAATTAACTTAGGCATATGCTTTATAAAAAATATCCATAATAAATATCTATATAAAGTAAAGAGTATTTTAGCGATTCGAATCTTCTTATACTATTCACTCATTTTTATTGTAATTGATTAAATTTTATGATTTTTCGAAAAAAAAAGTTTAATTCCTGAATAATTTTGTAATAATGTATTTTATAATCGGCCAACAAAAAATTGTAAAAAGTTGATAATATAAACAACTCGATAATAATATCAGTAAGCAGAGCTTTACTTTAATTTGCTAAGCATAAATTTGATTTTTTAAACAATTTTTTTAAAATATAGATTTCGGCTATAGAATATCTATTAACGTTTCCACATATTATCGCCCCTAATTATGTCAATGTATTTAATTAAATAAATAAAATAAAATAGTAAAACTAGCAGCCTCTATTAAATTTGTAGACTTGAAAAATATAGTAAGTTTGCCATTAGGATTCCATTTTTAGATTAGGAAATTAAGTTACATTAAATTTAATCACCTACTGAAGGTAACAGAAAACTTGTTAAATAAAATATTTATATTAAAAAAAGTAAAAAAAATATTGTAAAATATAACTATTCATAGGGTAGGGATCACGGCCAACTTTTATACACCTGCCTAAGAGACACTCTCTAAATGCAAAACTCCCTTAACAATTCAGCTAAAATTAAGTATAGACAGCACTTGGGTACATTCGTGGCATACAAGAGACACACATTAAATATTTGTACCCAAAAGTATGCAATAAACTGTGCTTTTTGCCACTGGCAAAGAGCTCTCAAAGAGCTGGATGAAGACGCCGCAGAATGTGAGTGCTAACTAGACCCCAGAGAGCTGAGAGTCACAATGAAAATCACACACATACGAGAGAATTTCAGCATGTCACTGGGGCGTAGCTTTGATTTCATTGGATTTGTGGCAGCTGCCTGTGTCGTCAAGAGGTAGAGTATGGGAAAGGGAGAGAGGGAGATGGAGAGGGAGAGGGAGAGCTAAAAACTTTGTTGTTGGCATCAGCGAACCGCCAGTTGGCGCCAGCCTTATGCAAATCAGGGCCAAAGCTGTAAACGAGAAAGACTTCAGCCAGGTGCTAAGCTCGAATGGAATCGGCGCTGAATGCTGATGATGACATTTGGCTGTTCTCTTGGCAGCGACATTATTTTACTGCAGCAGATGAGTTTGAGCCTTCGATTCGACCATTTCAATTTGTTAATAGCCACGTGGCATATTTCCACGCATGGAAAGTTGCAGCTACCGAATCTAGTCTAGACAACGAATTTGCCAAACAAAACCCAATGGGTAAAAGGTTTTTCACAATTTTCACATTTTCCCCTCATAACGTTTCATTGTCTGTCTGTCTGTTTGTTTTGTTTTTTTTTTTTTGCCTTGCTTTCAATAACTTTAATCTCTAGCGCACAGACGCCGGAAATTGAATTACTTACTCAAGTAACTTGAGAGCAACAAAAGAAAACAGTAAAAACTGAAATTTTGAGTGTTATTCATTGACTTTAAGATGGGGAGCTAGCCACAAGCATTTAGTTCACCGAGGCTAAGACTCTATGCCTGTTGGGATCGGGATCAGGAGCAGGAGCAAGGGAAACTCCAAGTGGAGGGGTCAGCATGCTCGCTGCATGCGTAAGTGAGCATTTAACAAGGCAAACAGTTGGCTCGGCCGCAGCCCAATTGCAAGTTACTTTTGATTTTTATGCGGCCAGCCTTTGCCCTTTACATAGTGGGCTAAGATAATCAGACAGCTATTGACACATATCAAATTTTATAGCAGAAAATCTTCATATATGTATAACGAAAGTTAAGCTATTCATGTCTGGTTTGTATGCTAACTCCGAATTACAGCGAATCAGTGAGAGTAAATGATCAGCAGCGGCATAAGAGAACTGGAAGTGAACTGATATTAATGCCCACTAAATACTGAACTAAGATAATCTGGCAGTGCTGAACAGATATCCAGCTTCATAGCATAGTCAAAGTGAGCCTAACTATGTCTTTAGCTTGTTTTCTCTGGAGTGCAATGGGGAGCATGATGATCAGCATCAGCATAAGAGCATCTCAGTCGGGCTCAAGCCAAGCGTAATTGAATTATGAAATTCGTGGCTCGACAAGGCGCCGTTGCCGGACGCCAGACGCTGCTGCCGATGCATTGATGCAGGCAGCTGGCCAAGGACATGCAGAGGGACATAGCATTAAGGAAGATGCGCCTGGGCTTGGGTAGCCATTGAATCGTTAACGGCATTTTAAGCATTATTGCATTTTCTGCACACACACACACACACACAGAGCCGTAATGTGGAAATTAATTTTCGCGTATTTCTCATGTTAATAATTTAAAAAATTAAAATGTAAATTTTGCTTTTATGATTATCAACATCGCTTTTCTCTTTGCTTTATGCGTGTGCACTCCATGAAATATGCGACAAAAAAGTGAAATTTTTAATATAAATAATTTTCGTGTCAAGCTTTCACTTTGATAAACCCTATACATATACACAGGTACATCCACTTACGGCTTATTAAATATAAAGCAGTTGCTAAAATATGCACACAGCATTTTGTTAATATTTGTCACCGAACAGGACATGATTTTCGCTTAAACTGCGGCGCGCTTTAAAAATAATTATTTATTCACGCGTTGTCAATTTCGATGAGCTGTGTGTATGTGTACATAGGCCACAAATTCGTATTTAATTAAAATCTCATTAATTAAATGCAAATCAGGCCTATGCCTTAAAGATTAGGCTTTAAATATATTTAAAAAGTACAAAAAATATAGATAGATTAAAGTTCAGACTTAGTTTGAAAAAAAAAAAAAAAAAAAAACCTCAAAGCATACTGGATGGAGGCTTGATGAAAATCTTATCAAATAACAGTCTAAGCTTTGTCTGTGATAGTTGCAGTTGTTAATTTCTTCGTCCCCTCGCCTATGTATTCTAGGTTCGTTATCTTCATATATAATTTTATATGAAGAATATAAGCCTAAGAGAAAGCAGCAAATAAATATGAAAAAAAAAAAAATAAAATAAAATAAAAATAAAAATAAATTATTTTCATAGATGTAATTATAAAAAATAAATTTTATATAAATAAATAAAAATATAATATGTTTATATTTAATTTTATAATGGAAATATATATTAAATCAGCAATAATTGAGTTGTTCAGCTGTCAAAATTAACGCTAAAATTAAAATTATTATTTATGCATTTCAATATACTTTAAACAATAATATTGATTTTCTATTGCCAAATCATATTACGGATTTGTAAGTTGAAAATAATAGATAGAAATACAAACATATTATAATTGTACAATTAGTGCCAGAACAATCAGTCAGCGACAAATTGTGCTCTATCGAATCACTAATGAGCCCGATAAGGCGGCAAGTGATGGAAACGTCACAACTAGACGGCAACACAAAGGAAACGATTGCCATCAAATTCATATCTCATCTCTCGCCACATGTCAATCGCCACTCGCTACTCGCCACTCGCCAGTCGAAGAGTCAAAAGTCCAATGCGCAGTGGACAAGCCCCCCTATCGAATGGTCCCAGCAGCCAACGAATGCTCGAGTTTAATGTATTGTAAATGCATAAATCACGGACAGCATATCGCAAGAACTTGCCGTTCTCTGACCCCCGTGCGAACCTCTCGTGCGTTAGGTTAATCATTAATTGCAACGCCGAATTGCGTCATCCAATGCCTTATCAGGGCACGGCAGCCGCACGATGGCGACGCTGATGACAATTAATAACTAAGACATGAATTGAAACAATTTTCGAATTGTAATTCAAGCCGAACCGAACTGCACTGAAATCTTTCAAAAATTTCATTGTATAAAAAAATATATAAAATAATTAATTACACAAAATGTAACAATATTTCAATTGCTATTTTAGATTAGTCTAAATTAACACGGACAGAGCATTAAAGTGTTATAGAAATATTTTTGTTCTAATATAGATAAATTTAAACCTTTTTATTATTTTCATGTAAACTAAATAGCTAAAGAATTTCTTATAATTTTCATATCAAATAAAAACAAAATTTTAAATTAGTTTAAAATAAAAAACCAAAAATGAGCTACGTAACTTTTTTTTGTTGTTTTTTTTTTTTTGCATATTAAAGTTGTTTATCTTTAAATTAAATATTTAAAAAAAATTATAATAATAATCGCATTAAAATCTATTGATAAAGAACTAAAATAAAAAAACAATAATAATAATAAATAATTTAAAATAAAAAAAAAATTGCAAGCCAAAAAAAATGGAAATATTTTGCAGCCAACTATAAATAGATAGTTATAATCAAATTAGATTTGTTTATAAACAAACAGAATAGCTAAATCATATACAAATTAATTCTATCATTATAATATGAGATCGAAATTGAAACGAAACTTGAACCGATTGCAGTGGAAAATTTTCTGGGCTGCCAAACATAGACAAAATATTCCCTTAGTTTAACATACACTGCTATATCGATTTTTCTTCACTCATAGTACAATGAAAGAATGTTGAGCCTAAGCAGTTGACAAAGAAAAAAAGATCAACTATAATAATAAAAGAAATTTAATAAAATTTGTAAAGCATTTTGAAAACTGAAACTT